GGTTACAAGTTTGAACGCAACAGACTTCTTCTTCTTCTTCTTCTTCTTCTTCTTTCTTCTTCTTCTTCTTCTTCTTCTTCTGGCGGGTGGAAAAGAAATGGATTCAATGGTTACAAGTGAAGACACAACAGACTTCTTCTTCTTCTTCTTCTTCTTCTTCTTCTTCTTCTTCTTCTTCTTCTTCTTCTTCTTCTTCTTCTTCTGGCGGGTGGAAAGAAATGGATTCAATGGTTACAAGTGAACGCAACAGACTTCTTCTTCTTCCTCTTCCTCTTCTTCTTCTTCTTCTTCTCCTTCTGGCGGGTGGAAAAGAAATGGATTCAATGGTTACAAGTGAACGCAACAGACTTCTTCTTCTTCTTCTTCTTCTTCTTCTTCTTTCTTCTTCTTCTTCTTCTTCTTCTTCTTCTTCTGGCGGGTGGAAAAGAAATGGATTCAATGGTTACAAGTAGACACCAACAGACTTCTTCTTCTTTTTTTTTTTCTTCTTCTTCTTCTTCTGGCGGGTGGAAAAGAAAATTCAAGACTTCTTCTTCTTCTTCTTCTTTTCTTCTTCTTCTTCTTCTTCTTCTTCTTCTTCTGGCGGGTGGAAAGAAATGGATTCAATGGTTACAAGTGAACGCAACAGACTTCAGACTTTCTTCTTCTTCTTCTTCTTCTTCTTCTTCTTCTTCTTCTTCTTCTTCTTCTTCTTCTTCTGGCGGGTGGAAAAAGAAATGGATTCAATGGTTACAAGTGAACGCAACAGACTTCTTCTTCTTCTTCTTCTTTTCTTCTTCTTCTTCTTCTTCTTCTTCTTCTCTTCTTCTGGCGGGTGGAAAAGAAATGGATTCAATGGTTACAAGTAGACGCAACAGACTTCTTCTTTTCTTCTTCTTCTTCTTCTTCTTCTTCTTCTTCTTCTTCTTCTTCTCCTTCTGGCGGGTGGAAAAGAAATGGATTCAATGGTTACAAGTGAACGTAACAGACTTCTTCTTCTTCTTCTTCTTCTTCTTCTTCTTCTTCTTCTTCTTCTGGCGGGTGGAAAAGAAATGGATTCAATGGTTACAAGTGAACGCAACAGACTTCTTCTTCTTCTTCTTCTTCTTCTTCTTCTTCCTCTTCTTCTTCTTCTTCTTCTTCTTCTGGCGGGTGGAAAAAAATGGATTCAACAGTTACAAGTGAACAGACTTCAGACTTCTTCTCCTTCTTTTTCTTCTTCTTCTTCTTCTTCTTCTGGCGGGTGGAAAAAGAAATGGATTCAATGGTTACAAGTGAACGCAACAGACTTCTTCTTCTTCTTCTTCTTCTTTCTTCTTCTTCTTCTTCTTCTTCTTCTGGGTGGAAAAGAAATGGATTCAATGGTTACAAGTGAACGAACTTCTTCTTCTTCTTCTTCTTCTTCTTCTTCTTCTTCTTCTTCTTCTTCTTCTTCTTCTTCTTCTTCTTCTGGCGGGTGGAAAAGAAATGGATTCAATGGTTCAAGTGAACGCAACAGACTTCTTCTTCTTCTTCTTCTTCTCCTTCTTTTCTTCTTCTTCTTCTTCTTCTTCTTCTGGCGGGTGGAAAAGAAATGGATTCAATGGTTACAAGTGAACGCAACAGACTTCTTCTTTTCTTCTTCTTCTTCTTCTTCTTCTTCTTCTTCTTCTTCTTCTTCTTCTTCTTCTTCTTCTTCTTCTTCTTCTTCTTCTTCTTCTTCTTCTTCTTCTTCTGGCGGGTGGAAAAGAAATGGATTCAATGGTTACAAGTGAACGCAACAGACTTCTTCTTCTTCTTTTTCTTCTTCTTCTTCTTCTTCTTCTTCTTCTTCTTCTTCTTCTTCTTCTTCTTTTCTTCTTCTTCTTCTTCTTCTTCTTCTTCTGGCGGGTGGAAAAGAAATGGATTCAATGGTTACAAGTGAACGCAACAGACTTCTTCTTCTCGTTTTCTTCTTCTTCTTCTTCTTCTTCTTCCTCTTCTTCTTCTTCTTCTTCTCCTTCTGGCGGGTGGAAAAGAAATGGATTCAATGGTTACAAGTGAACGCAACAGACTTCTTCTTCTCGTTTCTTCTTCTTCTTCTTCTTCCTCTTCCTCTTCTTCTTCTTCTTCTTCTCCTTCTGGCGGGTGGAAAAGAAATGGATTCAATGGTTACAAGTGAACGCAACAGACTTCTTCTTCTTCTTCTTCCTCTTCCTCTTCTTCTTCTTCTTCTTCTCCTTCTGGCGGGTGGAAAAGAAATGGATTCAATGGTTACAAGTGAACGCAACAGACTTCTTCTTCTCCTTCTTCTCAGCCTGTGAAAGTCCTTTGCTCAACTCTCACCATGATTCACGTGTCCATTACTCTATCGTGCTCGCCCAATATGTCTTAGTAAGGGGCGGATGTGACACGCTTGTGCGTTCATGCCTCCCATCGATTCATGATCTCCCACTTGTGTGTAAGTGAATGCAACGAAACCGACTGGAATTCGAATACGGCTGTCTCTGATTTCTCATTTCGAGCCGTTATCCATTGCCCCTCCCCACCCGCGAACATCCAAGCTTGCAGCACTTGGTATTCCAAAACGGTCACCCATCTAGGTACTGACCAAGCTCTACGTTGCTTAACTTCTTTGGGTGGACGAGAACCCCTGTTTCAACCTGTTCCCCTATCTAAGTATTTTAAGCGCTCACATGACATATGTGGAGGATCTCCCGTATCATCTGAGCAGAATTATTTTAATCATCGTTTCAATTTCGTCAAAGTCTGAAAGCCTGTCGGAACGTTAACCGTCTTCCAGATCAAATTTTCCATATCTAAGCGCAGTGAAACACTTACGAATAGTACTTTCAGCTATGGCACCTTCCCTATAAATGGAATCTCTTATTTTTTTTTGTTTTTTCACAAAATTGATTCAGATATATGGGAACTTGAAGCCAATTAGAAAAGTCTAATAAAATATAAATGTATACTTTCACATAATATAAATTAGATTATATACCCCCCCCAAAAAAAAAACATTATTAAACACAGAAAACCCATTATTAGAAATTCTTTTTTCCAAAATTATTTTCAAAATTTAAAATTCCCAGCGTCTTCCGTTTCTGCGGATGTGTAGTCACATCAAGGTAAAGAAACCCAGTCCGATGAAGTCCTCAAGGAAAAAACGTGTCACACAAAAACTTTTGCCACTTTTATCATACATTGTTAAATATAAAAGACAACGAATGTCTATTATGTTTGATCATGAGCCGTTCTAATATCCGTATATTTGCTTTAATTTCAGGTGAAAATAAAGACAAAAACTGTCCAATATTTGGATATTTTTTTAATTGTTGGCCCTTGATCTAAGCTTTCGGCTCACATGAGCCATCTTCAGAGTGGTTATTCAAACATTTTATCGAAGATCCATAACATCGAAGATAATAATTTTATATGCCCGTTCAGAGATTATATATATATATATATATATATATATATATATATATATATATATATATATATATATATATATGCTTTTAATTTTATATATTTTTGAGTTACTCAAACGTCATTTATACTGGGTACATCTGTTTGTGTTGCATATCTCTGTTTTTTATTTATTTCTTAAATAAAAGTTTTAATTTCTCTGTGGAAGAAAATAAAAAAAAATCAGAGATGGTAAACCAAATAGCAAAAAATTTTTCTCCTGAAATTTCGGAAAGTCATACATTTTGACACGGGCATTCAGATTAGGCCTGGGCTGAACTATGGGTGTGACTGTAGTATAGTATAGTATAGTATAGTATAGTATAGTATAGTATAGTATAGTATACTATAGAACACGATGTTTGTGCTTGCAACTATAGCTATCAAATTATTCTTATTTTCTTCCCCCAAATTATCTAGCTCCAATTCTTGCCTTCTAAACTGTAGATAAATAATGCCCCCCCCCAATCCTGTCTCGCTATCTTTTAATGTATCTGTTGATATAAGTATTGTCTTCTTTATCTAGGGTTATTTATTTCTATCTTCTCATTAATAGTATCATACACTGGAATATACGAGTCGACTGATTCATTATTTCTCTATTAATCGTAATTCATCTTATCAACACTTTTGTAATAAGCAATGAATTATGTTTACTTTATGAATGCCCTACGGTAACGCGATATCAGAGGCTTCTCTAATCACTTAGGATGACACGTTTTTTCAGTGTATTATATATATATATATATATATATATATATATATATATATATATGCAGAAATATAGTTCTGAAATGTTTATATATATATATATATATATATATATATATATATATATATATATATATATATAGAAATATAGTTCTGAAGTGTTTATATATATATATATATATATATATCACGCACGGTGAACACTAGACCTGGCTTTTTAATATTTCCCTTTTCTAGCAAGATTAATGCTCGACAAACGTACATATAAGTTTTAGATCAAAATAAAATTATTTTCGTTTTTTATTCAAAATACTCAAATTTTTATTAATACGTTTTCACAACATCGCCCACGTGACGACGACGTGATCATATTTAAACGGAACGCTGATCTTATAAAAGAGTTCAGTTATCTGTTTGGATTGATATTGCTTTTATGTCCATCGTCTTTTTCATGTTGAATTGTATATGGTCTATGTTAATTATGTTTTATGAATATGTCCTGAAGATGGTCTATTAGACCGAAACGTCGGACGTTGACATTAAACATTAAAGCAGCATAATCGCATATTAGGATTGTTTTTTCAGTATATTTTTCTTCATATATATATATATATATATATATATATATATATATATATATATATGCATGTGTGCGTGCGTGTGTGTGTGAGTGTGTGTTAATCGCTCTTTTAAATGTGTATTGAATTGTTTATATACAGTTATACACATACATACACACACGCATGCACACACACACATGTATATGTGGGGGTGTATTCAGTTAAAATCAGTTGTAATACAAGATAAGACAAATTTTGAAGCATACTCCTTTGTTTTGAATTAAAAAAAAATATTTCCCCCCTGTTTATTTGCCGGTGAAACGCAAACTTTGTAATTGACATATTAAAAAAACAAAAGAAAAACAGTGTCTGTTCTCTAAATGACAGGCGCACACTGTGTGGCAGACATGGACAATTTTCGATTGTATATGAGCTTGGGAAGTTTTTTTAATTTAAGTGATCATGTCACCCCAAGCAAGGTAGTTAAGTCACTAAGATACAAGAGGTCACTGGGCATTGAAGAAGAAAAAAAAAGAGAAACATTGGGAGCGAGAAGAATAGAATTCTAGTCAAGACAATAAAATAGCGATTGACATTGCCTTTGAATTTTTGCAGATTAAAGTTCGCTGGAAAGCATGAAACCGGAAGAGAGTTTCCACAAACAACGTGCGAGTAAAGAAGCTCTTAACACAGAACTTACGGTTACAACTCAGTCAGTGAGTTAGGTGCCATGCGTGATACACGCTTTGGCGATCATGTACCTTTCGATATCTGACCGACGAGGCAGATTTTTTCCCGCAGTAGGCTGCAATTTCTTTCTGTAGTAGACCAGTGGGTCATCCAAGGCTAGAGAACCCGGTCTGTCCTACTATTTACTCATAGGGGAGAAGAAGAGGTTTCATAACTTTTCCCAAACATATAAATGAATGTAATGGATTCGACTGGAATTCGAACTCGGCTCTCAATCCAAGCCGATATCCATTAGTCCACCTTGTCTCTCTACGTTTACAACTAGCAAATTCAATTGTGAATTGATGAGACTGTACTGTCATCTTAGTTCATATAGTCTAGGTACAATGGTACCTAAGGGTTCACCGAAGAATTATCATGAAAGTATTTATCGGAAAGGATACATTACGACGGTGGGAAAATGGCGAGAGGCCAGGTTAGGACCAATAATATTGCAGATTCTTCTTTGCATTTTTGCAAGAATCTCTAAATATACAGCAGGAGCACTAGATCATCTGTGGTAGCAATATTCAAAGCATAAGCAAATGGTAGACTTATAACTATTTAAGATAGATTCAAGAGAAAAAATTATCTAGCACGACACAATGAACCGTCTTTCTTAGCAGTAGACCTAGAAATGGATTCAATATCATCTTTCCACTTCATATCGGTCGAGAATGTTAGACCAAAAAGGTACAACGAGCCGCTCTCAAGGAGGTTAGCATCAGCCATGCTGGTGGAAGCAAGAAGTCTTTAAATAGTTTTATTTAAATATTTATTCATCACAAACAAAAGTTTTATAATTTTCGCGAACAAGACTGACCGACTGACTGTAGGCCGTATTTCTAATTTCAATTGAGATTATCTTAGCAATCAGGGTTATTAACAGAGTATTGTCGTCGCTCTACATTAGAGAATTCAAGTAATATTATATTAAAATTATGACTGGTGAAAACACGAAACCGAATCTCTCGTACGTAATACTACAATTTATTTATCTCTTTTCTCACTAGCATTTAGCAGACCCTACCTCTAGGGTGGGTGATTTTATATCAACCTGTAAAATGGCCACGTTTACATCCTAGGTACAGCTAAGTCGACCACATGTCTATGTTTCCGTACCACCTACTGACATTGAGCGAAAAGCTGATCTCTACCAAGGACAACTCTCAGGACAACACGTTGATGCGCCTTGTTTCTTTGATGGTCTGATGTGACATTGAGAACAAAGTTTATTCTGACATTATTAGATATGCGCCAGGTAATACATGTTAGAATTTTTGGGTAGTTTTTGTACTAGTAGGCAGTCAAAATGAGCTGACTCATTTTATATTTCACCAATAGAAGGGTTAACCAATCAGAAAATTCAAAATATTCAATCCGACGTGTATAAAGGCAGCCATTTTGTTTTTTCTCCAAAAATATCTTCACTGCCAATCTCTGATATCGAAGACTTAAATAATTACTTAACAGCCGCTACTTTCTCCGAATCTTCACTGCCAACCTCTGATATTGAACACATTACGTACTTCACTGGATTCTATATTCAGAGACTACGGCAAACATGGTCAATAATACAGTATGAAGCTAGTCAAATATGATTGTGTATGAGCTTTCTTCATAACAGAACTTACTATATCTAAATACCCAACATAATTTGGAATAGAATATAATCATATAACCATTTAGATACTTTATAAGTACTCAAAAGTAAAATATTGATTTCATTTTGATAAGTTTGTCTTGTAGAATCCAGTTAAAAATTGTAGAAAAAAAATCAATAGATTTAAGTAGCATAACTAAGATTTCGATTCTGCGCAAAAAGAGAATCACACGAATATCAAATTCAAATTTCCACATTAGCATTTATTGACCAATCAGAGAGGTTGTCTAAGACGCAGCTCAAAGCTTTTAGTCATAACCTTTTGTTTTTGTTTTTTTTTCCTTTGATTTCAATATCTCTGACTTTATTTAGTAAGTCACCAGAATTCTTTAGATGTGCTGAACTGATAATAGCGAGTAGTAGGGTTAGAATCTTTGTGATAACTGAGGCAATTTTGTGAGTACCGAAGCCAATTCCATAGATTATTGTCGTATTGAAATATTCATTTTATGGATTTTTGTGGGTATCATGGAGCGATATTCGATGTAGCAAGGCCATATTTAATTTTTTCTTAATTGCTTTTAACT